CCATCGTAGGCATGAGGGATAAAGAGTTCTAGAGGACAAGGGTCCTGTGGTGGGGGCAACGATAGGGGGAGGGTCTGGCATGGGGGGGATGCATCGACTTGGAATCGGCGATACATCGACGATAGATCGGCGATAGGCCCCCGATAGTGAATCCGCACCTTCCTGGGCGGGTTGGGGCTATCAGACCCCATCGGCGATCAATGGGCGATTGGGGGTCGACGCTTCCCCCCCTATGACTATCCCCCCCTATCGTTGCCCCTGATCCTGGACGTTTTTATCTTGGTTCTCGGAGGCCCCCTGGAGCCCTCCATGGGCTTCGGGACTGTCAGGCAACTACTCGGGATGCAGGGCCTGTCCTGTGAAGAAGAAAAAACGGCATAAACATAACCTCTCGGCGCTCCGCGCGGAGTTCTTGGCTCTGCGCTGGACCCCCCCCTGCCTGGCGCGCGGAGTGCGCCAGGGGCGGTGCCGGAGGCGCTGCCCGGGGGGCCCAGCGCGGATGCAAGAAGTCCGCGCGGAGCGCCAAAAGATCATGTTTCTGGCGCTGCTTCTTCTTCGACGTCCTGGAAGAAGCCCTGGGATCCTGGACCCGTGCCTCGCAAAACCCCGTCCCCCCATGGCAAAGAGAGAGAGAGAGAGAGATCGCGATCCCGACCTCCCCATGGCAAAGACGGAGAGAGATCGCGATCCGGACCTCCCCGTGGCAAAGAGGGAGAGAGATCGCGATCTGGACCCGTGCCTCGCAAAACCCCGTCCCCCCATGGCAAAGAGGGATAGAGAGGTCGCGATCCGGACCTCCCCTCTGTCGCCCGCCGGCGGGCCTCACGGCTACACCCGCGGCTTCGCGGTGCGGGCTACTCGACCGCCTTGTGCGGAGGGACCCGCGCGGAGCACATCCATAGTATCGCGTATCCAGTGGATCTACAGTGCCGTTTTTAATACATGCTCCGCGTGCGGATCATGTATTACAAATGCAGGGATTTAAACAACGATGAGTTCATGCAAAATTTATTAATGAATTCATCATGTATAAAAATCCCATATTTTCTGAAATCCTATGTATTGAAAACTGCCCTGTACTCCTGCGGTCCATCCTGGCCCGCTTTTTCCGCACCGCGTCCCAGCCGTGGCCGAGGAGAGCATCCAGGAGCGCCGCGCAAACCCCGAAACGAAGACGCCGTTATAAGGCACTCGAACTGACACTGAGGATTGGCACGCCCAGGATGGGGACTGACCAATGGGGCCGATGCCCAACAGAGCACGCCGACCAACAACGACAGCGGCCGCTGTTGGACAAGCGACCTTGAATCCCAAATGAACAGCGTCCGCAGCACCGGCAACGGCAACGTCCGCGGCGGCACCTGCTCATCATTGGCAGGAGCCGCTGTCGGTAATCGTCTCCGCTCTTCGCGTCTCCATTCTGATCCCTCGACCCCTACACGTCGGTCGAAGACTTAGGTAAAAAACTTGAAGTAGGAAAATAGACAAAGTAGATTGGGTTCCCGCCCTCCAAGAGAATAACGCAACACAACAATTCAAATCGATTCTTTCAGCAGGAAGGCACCTAGAACATTCATCAGTACATAGTAGTTTTAACGACCGATGGTTACTCCTGCCCCAGCGGGGCGGCCCAGACAACACCCCCTTCCGTCGACGTCGTTGGAGTCAACGCCGAGGATAGATGCGAGACGGGAATTTATCCATATCCACCGCCTGGTAAACGACGTCCTGATGCCCCAGCGGGCGGTGGGTATAGATTTTGTTTGGCCCCTGGGGGCCCGAATATGCCCATATCCACCGCCTGCCGAGGTCCCTGAAATTGAATATGCCCATACCCACCTCCCGCCTCGGAATTAGAGGTACAATACAGAACATCGAAACAGAAACAATCTCGGAGGCTCGCGCGGATTCCTGGTAGGTCGGCGCTGTAGACGCCGCCGGGGAGGTGTTTAGCGCCGACCCAGGAGATTCGCGCGGACCTGCCTCGATCCTCGAACCTCAACGCCGCCCCCGAGGAATACCCTCCCCCATGTGCCTATCACCCCTGCGAATCGTTGCCCCCGACTCTTGCTTCTCTGAGGCGGAACTCGGAAATCTGAGCAGGGACCAGCATTCCTATAGGCCTACCACGATGTGTTTTTTAAACCCCAAAACATTCTAAGAACAAAACATGTTCTTAGAACATAAACCCGATGTGCTAAAACACAACAGTCTCAACCATACATGTTCTAAGAACACTCGTGCAGACCACAAACACTTTCTTATAACATTATTCGGAGGGCCTACAAGCGAGCCAAGACGCTTCGCCACTGCTTGACATCCGTGTTGAAAACATGTTGGACTCGTAGGATCCGTGTCGAATCCGTGTCGAATCCGCCTCGAGTCCGCGCCAGATCCGCGTCGAGCCAGAACGCTTCGCTTTGCTTGAGAACCCCTCCGAGGAGGCGAAGCGAAGCGGAACGACCGGGCACCACTGCCAGCCCCGCGGCACTTGAGCAGGGACCGACCGTCCCAACAATTCTATAGGCCTGCCACGACATGTTCCTAGAACCCCTAACCAATCAAAGATCCTGAACGCTGCCCCTGAGGAGGACCTCCCTCCCATGTGCCATTCCCCCCCCCCCCCGAATCATTGCCCCAGGCTCTCCGCGTCGAGTTCGCGCCATATCCACGTGGGCCCATAGGCGAGCCAGGACGCCTCGCCGCCGCTTGCGAACCCCCCCCCGAGGGGGCGGCGTGGAGCGGGGGGCGACCAAGCACCCCTGCCGGCCCCGCGGAATCGCTGCCCCCCAACTCTCCCCCCCGAATCGCTGCCCCCGGCTCTCCCCAATATGCCTACCCCCCCCCCCCCGAATCGTTGCCCCCGACTCTGCCCCCGGAATCGTTGCCCCCGACGCTCCCCCATATGCCTACCCCCTCCCCCCCGAATCGTTGGCCCCGACTCTCTTGCTCCTCTGAGGCGGACCTCCAGGGGACGAAGAATGGCACAAACAATAAAAACTCGGAGGTCCGCGCGGAATTCTCGGATCCGGGCTGGACCCCCCTGGCGGCGCCAGAGGCGCCGCCCCTGGCGCGCTCCGCGCGCCAGGGAGGGGGGCCCAGCGCCGATCCGACAAATCCGCGCGGACCGTCGAATCCCACCAGCCCTCTGGGCGTCGGTGGTTTAGGGCGTTGCCTCTTCCACCCCTCCTTCTTCCCCTTCGGAGAGGGGTTTATCACTGTTCCCCATTAATATACACCCCCTCCCCCAGGCGACTGGGAGCCAACCCGAGTCCATGAGGGCACCCCCCCACCATCCCTTGAAAAAGCAATGCAAAACACACCCTGCCCCCACCATCCCATGAACAAGACCAATACAAACACACTCTGTCTCCAAATTCGGAGCATGCGCAGCGAACCCGATGCGGCCTCTCCCCACCATCCCTGTCAAACAACACTACAGAGTACACTTGCAGGCGGCGGCGGCTGCGGCGGGGGCAGCGGCTGCGGCGGCTGCGGCGATGGCGGCGGCGGGGGCGGCGGCGGCGGCGGGGGCGGCGGCGGCGGCGGTGGCGGCGGCGGCGGTAGCGGTGGCGGCAGCGACTACGGCGGCAGCGGCTGCGGCTGCGGCGATTTGGCAGCGGGGGCGGGGGGGCGGCGGCGGCGGCGGCGGCCGCGGGCGGCGAGGTGGCGGCGGCGGCGGCGGACAGCGGCGGCAGCGGCGGCGGCGGCGCGGCAGCGGCGGCGGCGGGCGGCGGCGGCGGCGGCGGCGGATTCGCCCCCAGTAGCTGCCCATCCAAAGACGACTGCTGCATATGCTGCGGCTCGGGTCAGGCTCGGGTGCTACGTATATGTTGGGAGGGCGGGTGGGGGTGAGCGAGACGGCTTGCAGGCAGGGAGGGCGTCTTGACCCCTCCCCCTACCCCCTCCCCTGGACCTGGACGGCGGGGGGTCGTGAGTCGTCGGAGCGTCCAAAGCTGCCTCGGCGAGGAAGCCACAATCATTGATTTTACTTTGGTTTTGGCTTCAATTTGGCCTCCTGATGGGGGGGACCCTAATTGAAGCTCCCCTCTTGTTTGATCGATCTCCTCCAAGATGGCCCCAAGAAGCGCCCAGGAGGCCCCAAGAGGTCCCAAGATGGCCCCAAGATGGCCCCAAGAGGCCCCCAAGAGGCCCCCAGGAGGCCCCCCAAAAGAACCCAAGCGGCCCTCAGAGGCCCCCCCGAGGCACCCAATACGCCGAAGAGCCCCCCACGACCGCCAAGAGACCCCCCAGACGTCCCAAGACACCACCAATAATCGCCCAAGAGATACCCAGAGGCTCCGAGAGGCATCCAAGAGACCTCTGGCCCTTGTGCTTGCCCTCCTCCTCCTCCTGTTCCTCCTTCCTCCTCCTACTCTTTCTCTTCCTCCTCCTCCTCCTCCGCCTCCTCCTCATCCTATTCATCATCCTTCTTCCCACTCCCTCATCCATCCATCCATCCACGTCCTCCTTCTCCTCCTCACTCCTTTGCACGGCTCGGCCGTCCCCCCCCTTTGCTGCCGCACTTTCCTGATCACCTCAACTCGCCTGGACATCGTTTCTGGATGGGCTGGTGGGGATATTTTTTAGTCAGCGGCCGCGGGCGAGCGCGCCGGCGGCGAGTCAGGTCAAAGCGGGGCAAACAACGACGAATTAACCTAAAGCGGCGGGGGGCTACGCAGAGACTAATTAGGCAGAGGAAACGCGGGAAAAATAGAGCAGAGCAACGGGCGAGGCGACGGCCAGCTGGTGGGGACACGCAAAGCGTCTAGCATTTTCATGCTTCTGTCACTCCTCGTTTCCCTGATCTCGACCCCCCCCATCCCGAGGGGGCGGAGCGGAGCGGGGGCGACCGGGCCCCCCTGCCAGCCCCGCCTGCACGGGGCGGCGGGGGGTCGCGGGGTGGGGCGCGGCCTCGCCGGCCGCGCCGCGCGCGCGCCCTTGAGGCGCACCCTCGCGCCCCACGGCCGAGGGCGCCAAAAGGGGGCGCCAGCTCCGCCTCAAAAGTCCTCCACGGTCGTGCCGTCCTGCTTCGGAGCATCGCCGCCGTCCTCGCCCCACCGGGAAAGGGCGAAACACAGTCAACCCGTGTCATAAGGATGTGCGGTAAGGATGAGCGGGGCGCGGCAAGCAAGAGTAGCCAAGGATGGGCCGAAGGGGCAAGGCTGCAAGGGTGCGCTTGGGAAGGTTGCCGATCCTTACCATGCGGGTCGACTGTACCAAAAGGTGCGGATATACCGAGAGGACGCGTTCTGATCAGACTGTCGAGGCGAGTCCGGCAGGGACAAGAGGGCCTCCCGGGAGGCCCAAGGAGGAGAAGCCGAGGGAAGGGTAGCGCTATGGGCAGCTTCCTCCTCTGAGGAGAAGAGGGGGGGTCTCTAGAGAGCAGAGCATCCACCCTCGTAATAATCACACCGACACGCGTCAGAGTCGTTTAGTAAACGCACCCAAACAGAGAATCAAACAAGGCAGGGCTGCTTTGTCAACGCCCAGGGCCGTTTCGCGAACGCCAATTGTCGAGTCTGGGTGGTTTTCCCTCCCTTGAGTCTTGGGCATCGGTGTGCCGACCCATGCCCTCCCACGGCGTGGCCCTGGCCTGAGGTCGGGCACGTCATCCTACGAGCGGATCTTGGACGAAAAATCAAAACACGCAAACAAAAATGCTAAGCTATACTTCAACACATCGTCACCTGACTATTTCTCTACTACTTTTGAGTATCGGGGATGGACAGATCTCCCTTTAGTAAAACGTGGTTTAGTGAAAACGACCTGAGGCCCAAACCTGGCGGGCGCAAGCCTGGAAAATAACGGCCGCGGCGCCCTCTCGAGAACCGGAAACGGACAATTCACTGATCGACGTGTCACCGTTGGGGGTTCTGTCCACCCCCGAGGGTGTTCCTCCTGTAGAGGGACACGCTCGACTTAGCCCTGGCCCCACTGGCCGACGAGCCCGAGCGGGGATGTGTGTGTGTGTGCGTGTGTGTGTGATTGTGTGTGTGTGATTGTGTGTGTGTGCGGGTGTGTGTGTGTGTGTGAGAGTGTGTGGGGCCGGCGGAGCCGAGATGCCATGGCCTTGTGGCGATAGGTTTCAGTCGGGCCTGTCCCCCTCCAGGGGGATTTTCGACGAAAACTAAAACATACACCAAAAATAGTTAGAAAATAATGCAAAAATAGTCTGGGGACAATTTTTGGAGTATTTTTTGACCTTTTTGGGTATTTTCTATTTTTCGTCGAAAATCCCCCTGTAGGGGGACAGGCCCGACTTAACGATAGGTCCACAGACATGATCGCGTCGCTAAGAAATCAGAGCGGCAAATTGTTCACTGTTTTCGGCCCTCTGGGGCCCTCGCCGGGCCCCGGGACCGTCGAACAACTACTCAGGATGAAGAACCAGTCCCGGGGAAAGGGTGGGTACTTCAAGCGACGCCGTCCTGAAAAAACCAGGACGTCGCACGTCTGGGTGAGACCTCAATGGGCCCTGGAAACGACTGAGCCGTTTCCTTCCGGGTTCCGTGTTGCGGTTTTTGTTGCCGATTCCGACGCCGTCTTTCTTTTGCTGGTTCCGTCGCTGGTTTTGCTGCCACGGTTCCGACTCCGGTTCCAGTCCTGGAGCCGTTCGTTTGCTGCTTATGGTCGCAATTTTCTGTCCGTTTCCATATTCAAGACACTTTTCCGAAACAAAACTGACGGCCCTGCCGTTTCTGGGGCCCAATAAAGGGTCAGACGATGTTGATGTCTGGCCGCGCGCATCTCGGCGTCGGTGATGACGACGACGACGACGACGACGACGACGACGACGACGACGACGACGAGGACGACGACGACGACGACGACGACGACGAAGACGACGACGACGACGACGACGAAGACGACGACGACGGCGGCGGCGGCGGCGGCGGCGGCGGCGGCGGCGGCGGCCCCGGCGGCGTTTTGGAAACTTCCAGGCGGTTCTGAGTGCTGCCATCGTCACGGCTGGGCGCGGCTCGAAAGGCCAGCCAAGATCGACTCCTCGAGGTGTCCAGTGGCCCGTTCTGAGCGGGTTTTTGGTCGGGGGGGGGGGAGAGAGGGGCGGTCTTCAACAAGGCAGGTGGCTTCTTGGAAGGGCTCGGCCGCTTCTGAGTAGTCTTCTTACAAACCCGAGCCCTCGTAAGAAGCCCACTGCCTTCTTAGAAAGTCGCCGCCCTCGCCCCGCCCCCCTTTGCGCACCGCCTCAGGGCAGAAGCGGAGGAGGAGGACAAATCCAACGGCACCAAGTCCACGTGCGTGCTTTGGAGATCTCCGCAGCTTCGCGGATTGAGCAGATCACAACGCAGATCCGGGGATGAGATACAACATGGGTGAGGGAACATTCAAATTAAGGCCAATTGAGGCAACGGCGGCTCCCCCGCGCAGTGGCCCATGTTTCGAGGCGGACCCATCCGTGGCAACGAGAAGCCGTCTGGAGCCCTGAAGAGAGTCAACGTTTTCTTATTCGGCGTTTCGGCATTGGGCGGAAAGGGGGGGAGGGGGAAGGGAGGGGATCTGGCTTCGGACCTCTGCCTAGGTGCGGCCGTGTGGAACCGTGCGTCCATCATGGGGGAGGCTCCGCCTGCTCGAAACAGGCGCTAAAAAACAGCCAATATCCACTCCAGGGGGGGGGAGGGGTCCGAGGGCCCGCGCCGATCGGAGGAGGAGGAGGAGGAGGAGGAGGGGAGGGGAGGAGGAGGGAGGAGGAGGAGGAGGAGGAGGGGAGGAGGAGGAGGAGGAGGAGGAGGAGGAGGAGGGGGGAGGAGGCGGAGGAGGGGAGGAGGAGGACGAGGAGAGGAGGAGGGGGAGGAGGAGGAGAGGAGGAGGAGGAGGAGGGAGGGGAGGAGGAGGAGGAGGAGGTGGAGGAGGAGGAGGGAGGAGGAGGAGGATGCGAGGAGGAGGAGGAAGGAGGAGAGGAGGAGGAGGAGGAGGAGGAGGAGGAGGAGGAGGAGGAGGAGGAGGAGGAGGGGGAGAACAGACAGCGCCGGGGACGGCCGCCGTCGTTGCCTCGACGCCGGCGGCTCTGGGCCTCCCCGGGGAGCCCCCCGCGGCCACGGCTGGCCCCGCCTCGGCAGCCCGGTCGGCACGCGCGCTCCGCGGAGGGGTCCGCGGGAGGGGCTCGCCGCGAGCGCGGGCGCAGAGGAGCAGCCAGTGCAGGGTCGAGTGCGGATGGCTCCTCTCTGGTCGCCGAAGCTCGGGTCGGGCGAAAGGGGGGGATAGCAAAGGCGGGGTCTGAGAGTCAGCTCGCGTAGCTGATTTTCCATTTTCCCAGCGCCTCCCGGCGCCGGGGGCGGCTACGTGTCGAGAAATGGGCCCCTCGGTGGGGCCGACACCAGCTGCATGCAGCAGGTTTCGTAACCCCCCCTTTCCCAATCCCCCCCTTTCGTCCGGCCCGAGAAGCGAGTACGAACGCTTCATGTCTGGACTCAGGTCGGGCATGTCCTCCTACAAGGGGGCTTGCGAAGAGAATTAGAAACTGGTCAAAACAGATGCGGAAATAGTCAGAACAATACCCAAACAAATCGTCACCAGACTATACTTTTACTATATTTGAGTTTTCCTCCTGCAGAGGGACACGTGCCCGACTTGAGTCTAGACGAGACAGTCTCGCCGACGTGGACGCTGGCCTCTGACACCGCGCAGATCGTCGCAACGATCTCCTCCATCCCACAGCGACGACCGTGCAGAGCTGGCATGCTCCACGCCGCCCACAACCTCTCGTGCTGACGCGACGCGGACCTGCCGCACCAAGCACCGGCCAGATTGGGCTGCTCTGTTGGCTCCAGGGCTGGACCTAAACGCTGTTGTTCGTTTTGTGTTCGTTTTGTTCTTCGTTTTGCTCTACCTGTTTTCCTGTACCTCCCTGCCGAATCGAAAAACAAAACACAGCCGAAGTCCAGCAAAACAGCGTTTAGGTCCAGCCCTGGTTGGCTCCCTCTGGTAGGGGGGCCCGGACAGCCAAAGTCGTGCTCTTTTCAGTGCGGTCTTGGGCCGACTCGCCACCACTACCAAGAGGTAGGAGAGGAGAGAGGAGGAGGAAGAGGAGGAGGAGGAGGAGGAACTCCCCATCCTCCCTTCTCCCCCGTCCTTTCTATGGTGATGGTGGTGGAAAATGGGCCCATCATACGGAGGCCCTGGAAGCTCCGAACCTTTCCCCGGGGTTGTTCATCCCCGGTGGTTTTGTTGTACAGGGCAGTTTTTAATACACAGGATGTTTAAACATATAGGATTTTTAATACATGATTAATGTATGAATAAACTTATGCATGAACACATCGTTGTTTTTAATACTAAATCCCTGCATGTTTAATACATGATCTGCACGCGGAGCATGTATTAAAAACAGCATTGTACGGTCCCGTGGCCTGACGACGGCCCCCCGGAGACGAAAACGGCCGACGCACCCCCCCGCCGTGATGTTTGACGGCACGGTCGTGTGAGGGGGCCAGACCCAGGATGCCGAGATGTTCCACGGCGCAGCCCCTAGAGCTCTCGCCCCTCCGACGGGGCCCAGCGCTTCGTCGCTGTCAGTTGTTCGGCAGCCCCTGGGGGACCTGGAGCGAGCCTCCAGAGGCCCGCTAGTGAGGAAACTCTTGTCGTTGTGTTTGTTGCCTCTGAGTCACTTGTCTGCAAAGGGTCCTAACTCAAATGTGCCTAAAGAAACTATCGAGATGCCTCCTATTTCTCCTCTCCTCCTCCTCTTCCTCCTCCTCCCCCTCCTCCTCCTCCTCATCATCATCCGTCACGCTCGCCGCAAACACACATTCAGGAACGACTCGGGGAAGCTGTTGGTCGTCCCCATGGCGCAACAGCTATGCGGCGCTGCTAGACCCTACTCCCTTCCGAGGGCCACATTGCAATAGGGGTGCAAAGGCATGGATCGCGAAACGCAGGACATCAGGTGACCCTTGATCCGGCAAGGTCGGCCTACTAATCACACTCGCCTGCATCCCGATGTGGTCTCCCGTGTGGTCTCTGGAAGTCGAAGGCTCGAGGCCGAGACATCCGCGCGGAGTTCCGACTGTGTGTGTCTATTCCTCTGGAGGTCGAGGGCTCTGAGCCCAGGGCGCGGCCGGCACGCGGGCGCCGGCGGAGGCGCCCCGGCCATGTCGCTGCTCCACAGCTGCAGGTTGTCGCGCAGCAGCTGCATGATCTGCTCCGCCTCGTTTTGGGTGTCCTCGGGCACTCGCTGTATGCCCCCGTGCGGTCGAGGATCGGATCGGTGCCGCTCCCATCAGAAAGGCTCGGTTTGGGAAGAGGGGCGAATCAGATGCCTTCGCACTCATGATCTGCTTGGAAAGGGTTCGACCAGATCCGCATCATAGCGATCCTCGGGCTGGGCGTCATAGCCGATTCAACTGGCCAATCAATTCAGAACGGCTCCAATGATATCCTTCCAGGCGTAGCACGCTATTCCCTGGCGCCGTGAAACATATGACGGGATACGGTCCTGTATTTTCGTCCTCTGGGGGCCCGTATCGGGCCTCGGGACCGTCAAAAAACGACTCGGGATGAAATACTGGCAAGACTGAGCCGAATCGAACCGCGAGATCGGATCGCATCGGAAACGGACCGCATCTACAACAAATCGTCCCGAATCGAACAGAAACCAGACCGCCGAGCCCAGCTCCCGTTCGCGATGCCAACGAACCGAGCCGAATCGCATCGAAACGGATCGCGGGTGGCCCTGACCGGTCCTGGGAAAGGTGTCCAGACCTCTGGGCTTAAGTAGGGCGTGTCCCCCTACAGGGGGATTTTGGGCGAAAAATAACGAATACCCCCAAAAATAACCCACAAGGTCAAAAAATAATCAAATAATAATCCCCCGACTATTTTCCAACTATTTTTTATTATTTTGGGAGGTATTTCTCAATTATTCCCCATATCCTAAGGATTGGGGTTCTTGTTCCCCATATCCTAAGGATTGGGGTTTTTGTTATTACTCTGACGCCTCCCACTCCTCCTCCTCCTTCTTCCTCCCGCTCGCGCCTCCCTCCTCCCAATGATAATCACCAGATAAGACAAGACAAGATAAGATACTACAAGATAAGATAAGATAGCACAAGATATGATAAGAAGAGATTTCAAGATAAGATAAGATAAGTTAAGCTCACACTCACACTCTCTCATGATCACAAAACGCTGCCAGGGGCATCATTTGGGAGCCCCAAGGGGGAGCCACCCTGGCTGATCTCACGAGCCCGTTCGCGCCGATGTTGGTGGGACGTCTCAGCTAGAATTGCCGTTTGGCGCCCCCAACATGTATCTCTTGAGAGCCTCATGGTCACAAAACGCTGCCAGGGGCATCATTTGGGAGCCCCAAGGGGGAGCCACCCTGGCTGATCTCACGAGCCCGTTCGCGCCGATTTTGGTGGGACGTCTCAGCTAGAATTGCCGTTTGGCCTCCCCAACATGTATCTCTTGAGAGCCTCATGGTCACAAAACGCTGCCAGGGGCATCATTTGGGAGCCCCAAGGGGGAGCCACCCTGGCTGATCTCACGAGCCCGTTCGCGCCGATTTTGGTGGGACGTCTCAGCTAGAATTGCCGTTTGGCCTCCCCAACATGTATCTCTTGAGAGCCTCATGGTCACAAAACGCTGCCAGGGGCATCATTTGGGAGCCCCAAGGGGGAGCCACCCTGGCTGATCTCACGAGCCCGTTCGCGCCGATTTTGGTGGGACGTCTCAGCTAGAATTGCCGTTTGGCGCCCCCAACATGTATCTCTTGAGAGCCTCATGGTCGCAAAACGCTGCCAGGGGCATCATTTGGGAGCCCCAAGGGGGAGCCACCCTGGCTGATCTCACGAGCCCGTTCGCGCCGATTTTGGTGGGACGCCTCAGCTAGAATTGCCGTTTGGCCTCCCCAACATGTATCTCTTGAGAGCCTCATGGTCACAAAACGCTGCCAGGGGCATCATTTGGGAGCCCCAAGGGGGAGCCACCCTGGCTGATCTCACGAGCCCGTAATGAGAGAGAGAGAGAGAGAGAGAGAGAGCAAGAGAGAAAGAGAGAGGGAACGAGAGAGAGGGAGAGGAGAGAAAGAGAGAGAGAGAGAGAGCGGAGAGAGAGAGAGGGGGAGTTGAGAGAGGAGACAGGCGAGAGAAAGAGAGAAGAGAGAAGAGAGAGAGAGAGAGAGAAAAAGAGAGAGAAGAGAGAAGAGAGAAGAGAGAGATAGAGAGATATAGAGATAGAAGAGAGAGAGAGAGAGAGAGGAGAAGAGAGAGAGAAGAGAGAGAGATAGAGAAAGTGGAGAGAAGAGAAGGGGGGGGGGGGAGGACAGAGAGAGATGAGGAGAGAGCGAGAAGATTGAGCGAGAGAGAGAGAGAAAGAGAGAGAGAGAGAGAGAGACGGACGAGAGCGAGAGAGAGAGAGAGAGAGCAGAGAGAGGGAGATGAGAGAGAGCGGGAGAGAGCGAGGGGAGCGAGAGAGGCGCGATGACGAGAGCGAAGGACAGCGAGAGAGAGAGAGAGAGAGGGCGAGAGAGAGAGCGACAG